TTTTGATAAAAGGACTTCTTTAACTATGGCTAGTTATTTAATTATCTAGTTTAGTTAACTAACTTTAACTAACCGAGTCATGAGATTGATGGATTAATCTACTTTTAGTTCTTTGAAAAATCTCCATCCTGTTTTCCATAGTGTTTATGCTAATTAGTAGTCCAACCAACAATTTTATAAGCATTCCTTTCTGTCTCCATCACAGCAGCATCTATTACTTTGGGACTTTTTAATAAAAGCTATTCTAATGGGGGATGAGGGCAAGGTGATATAGCTCATTGTAGTTTTAATTTGTATTTCACTGATGATTACTACATTGAGCATTTGTTTATAGGTTTATTTGTTGTGTTTCTATCTCCTTCAAAAAAACTAGTTCAATGTAAGCATTCCAAATTGTATGTGAAATCAGGACATTATTCCCCATAAATGCATTCAGGTATACATGATCTATATGTTTGTGATTTAATAAAAATTAAAAATAAAACCTTCTGTTTATGTCTTTTGACCACTTTTTAATTTTTTTTGTTGTTGTTGTTGTTGATTTGCTCGAGATTTTTCCATTTGTAAATTCTGGTTATTTGCCCTTTATGTAGAGTTTGTGAATATTATCTCCAATTAGTAGAATTGTCTGTCCATTTGTTCTTTTAATTGTTTTCTTAGCTGTGTAGGAGCTTTTCAATTTAATCATGTCCATTTGGGCATTTTTGTTCTTTCTGTAATTGCCACTGGGGTATTAGTCATAAATTATTTGCAAAGGCTTTTATCTAGAATACTTTTTTCTACATTTTCTTCTAGAATATATAGAGTTGCATGCCTTACATTTAATTATTTATCCATCTGTAACTGACTTTAATGAGTGTTGGGAGTTAAGGATACTGTTTTATTCATCTGCACGTAGCTATCCATTTTGCCCAGCTTCATTTATTGAATAGGACTTATTTTTCCCAGTGCATACTGTCTATTTTTTCAGTTATCTGTAAATAGACAGTTTTTATTTGGGTTATTTTCTGTTTCATTGATTTTTGTCTTTATTTTGTGCCAATACCATGCTATGTTGGTTATAACAGACTAATAGATTAGTTTGAAGTCTGGTAATACAATACCTTCAAATTTGTACTACTTTTTAAAGATTGCTTTGACAGCCTGGAGCAGTAGCTCATGCCTATAATCCTAGCACTCTGGGAGGCTGAAGTGGGTGGATTGCTTGAGCAAAAGAGTTCAAGACCAGCCTGAGCAAGACTCCCATCTCTACTAAAAATAGGAAAACTATGGGAAGCTGAGACAAGAGGTTCTCTTGTGCCTAACAGTTGGAGTGTTCTGTAAGCTATGACACCAGGGCACCACAGTGACAAAGTGAGACTCTGTCTCAAAAAAAAAAAAAAAATAATAATAATAATAATTGCTTTGGCTCTTGGTTCCAAATGAAGTGTATTATTATTATTATTTTATTGAGCTGTGGAATATTGCATTGGTATTTTGATGCGAATTGCACTGAATCTGTAAATCATTTTGGGCAGTTTGTACACTTTAATAACTGACAGTTTACCAATCCTTTAGCATCATAGGTTTCTCCATTTGTTTGGGTCACCTTAGATTTCTTTTCCTGTTGCTTTGTACTTCTCATTGTAGTGATTTTCACCTCCTTAGTTGAGTACTTTCCTAGGTATTATATTTTCCTTGTAGCTGTTGTGAATGGTATTGAGTCTTTGATTTGATTCTTACCATGAATATTATTAGGGCTACTTATTTGTGTACATTGATTTTGAAACCTGAGTCTTTGATGAATTTATTTATCAATTACAGGAGTTGCTTAGTCTAGTCTTTAAGGTATCTCATTAGCAAAAAGTGACAATTTCACTTTCTCTTTCCTGATTTAGATACCCTTTATTTCTTCCTCTTTTTTTTATACCCCATAAATGTATACAGTTATGATTTAATAAAAATGCAGTAAAAAAAAAGTTAAGAAGATGATGTGTCTTTCTTCCCTTCTCCTCCCTCCCTCTCTCCCTCCCTCCTTCCCTTCCTCCCTCCCTTCCTTCCTTCTTTCTTTCCTTCCTTCCTTCCACTTGTCTGTTTTTGTACATAATTTATTGAATGATGTCTGGGTTTGCTTTCAATATTTGATCAAAGTTCATGTGACTGAAGAACTTCTTCCTCTTTTCTTTCTCCTTTTCTCTTCTCGATTTTCTCTGCCTCTGTCTCCTCAATTCCCTACAGAAAAATCCACTGAGAAGTTCCTTTTTCAGGTTCAGGCTCATGCCAAGGCCAGCCCAAACTGGCTAGGACTTCCAGCACCATGGTGAACAGAAATTGTGACAGTGAGCATCCTGGTCTTGTTTCAGTTCTTCGGGAGATTGCTTTCAACTTTTCCCCAGTTGCTGTGATGTTGGCTGGGGGTTTGTCATGTATGATATTTTTAATTTTGAGATGCAACATTTTTATGCGTAGATTATTGGAAATTTTTAATCATGAAAGTGTGATTTTTGTCAAATGATTTTTGTGCATCAATTGAGATGATTATATGGTCTTTGTTTTTGCTACTTTATACGTGGTGAATTATATATATAATATACATATATATATAATATACATATATATATATTCATTTTGAACCATCCTTACATTCTTGAGATGAAACCCACTTAGTCATGGTGGATTTTTTTTAATGTACTCTTTAATTCACTTTGTGAGTATTTTGTGAGTATTTTATTGAGAACTTTTGTATCTATATTCATAGGGGATTTTGGTTTTTGTTTTCTCTTTTTGTTGTTTCTTTTCCTGGCTTAGTTATCCAGGTAATACTATCTTCATATAATTAGTTAGGGAGGATCCTCTCCTTCTCAATGTTATGGAGCATAGTTTCCACAGTATGGATGTAAGATATTCTTTGCAGTTCTAGTAACATTTGACTGTGTATTATATGTTCCTCGGTCTTTTTTGGAGAGGGGAAGATTTTTAATGATGCTTTGATGTCACTTCTCATTATTGGTTTACTCAGGAGTTCTGTTTTTTCCTGATTTAGTCTTGGGAAGTTCAGTGTTTCCAGAAATTTGTCTATTTTCTCTACATTTTCTTGTGTTGGGCTGTAGAATCTTTTATAGTATTTACAGATGATATTTTGCATTTCTGTAGTATCAGTTCTAATATCTTACTCTGAGATAAATATGGTATGATTTCTATATTTATTAATTTGTTGAGATGTATTTTTTGTCCTAAAATTTAATCAGTCATGGAGAATATTTCCTGTGCTGATGAGAAGAATGTGTATTCAGTTGTTCTTGGGTAAAATATTCTACATTTCCATTAGGCCCGTTTGACTTAGAGTTATGTTTCAGTATTGTTTTTTGTTGTTGTTGCTTTTGTTATTATTGTTTCTATTTTTTGATATAGAGTCTCACTATGTCACCCTCAGTAGAGTGCTGTGGTATCACCACTTACAGCAACCTCCAACTCCTGGGCTTCAGTGATTCTCTTGCCTCAGCCTCCCAAGTAGCTGGGACTACAGGTGCCTACCACAATGCTTAGCTATTTTTTTGTTGTTGCTGTAGTTGTTGTTGTTGTTTAGCATGCTCAGGCTGGTTTTGAACCTGCTTGCCCTGGTGTATGTGGCTGGCGCCCTAGCCACTGAGCTACAGGCATGGAGCCTAAGTCTTGTGTTTTTAAATATATTTTCTGCTTGAATTATCTGTCCAGTTTTGTCATGGATGTTGAAGTCCTGGGCAGATATGATACAGTAGTTTACCTCTTTGCTTAAGTCTAGTAGAATGTCCTTTACAAAAGTGGGCAGCCCTGTCCATCTTTGTCTTTTTTATCATTGTTGAGTAAAGACAATTTTATCTGATGTGAGAATAACTACATCCGCTTTCTTTTTTTCTATTTTCTTTTTCTATTTTTGAATTTTGTTTTCATCCCTTCACCTTGATCTAGGTGAGTCCCTTTGCATTATGTGTTTCTTAGAGACAACAGATACTTGGCTTGTATTTATTTTTATTCATTCATCCAGTCCATGTCTCTTGAGTGGGGAATAGAATCTGTTAAAACTGATTGGCAGAATTGATATGTAAGATGCTGTTCTGTTAATAACAAATTTATCAGTACCTTATTGCTTTTGTCACTCTCTTGCACTATTATTTTACATGAGTCTGAGATTTACCTTTTGTGTGGTTTTAAACTAGTGGGTATCTATTATGATGATACATGTATAATGAGTATTTCCTGCATGACAAGTCTGGTCTTGGCGAATTCCCTCAGTGTTTGCTTATCTAGAGAAGTTTATATTTCTTCTTCATATATGAAGCAGTTTTGCAGGATGCAAAATTATAGGCTGATATTTGATCTGTTTACGAAGACAGAGTTTCAATGCCAGTCCTTTCTAGCTAGTGAAGTGTCAATAAAGAATTCTGCAGTGTCAGTTAAGAAGCCTGAATTTTTTTTTTTTTTGTAAGTTACTGAATGTTTTTGCCTCATGGGTTGCAGGAGTTCCTACTTCATGTTGACTTTGGCCCGTCTGATGGCTATGAGTCTTGGTGAGTGCCTCTTTAAAATGAATCTTTCAAGTGTTTATTAAGCTTCTTGTAGCTGGTTGTCTAAATCCTTAACAAGACCACAGAAATTTTGCTTGATTATTCACTTAAATAGGTTTTCAGCCCTTCTATATTGTCCTCTTCCCTCTCGGGGATACCTGTGATTCTTTTACAGTGTAACCTCTATAAGTTGACTACCAAAGGGACTGTAACAAACTGGTTAAAATATGAAGGTACTCAACATAAGAAACTGGGCCTACTATACTTATTCATACATGTGCTGCATGTCCAGTCTATAAAAATTAGGTCAACGTAAGGATGTGGTCAATGCAGAACTTGCTATTTAGAGTAATACATTCTAAAGAATATGTTCATTTTTAAATAAACTTAATCTTTCTTAACTTGAGTAAAAAATACTATTTTACTTTTTAATTTTCTGATTTATTATGTCATCTTTATTGATTTATTTTATTTTAGGTGGTTTATGTCATTAAAATTGATGGAAAACCATATACCCTGCATCTCAAAAAACAGTAAGATAACATTTTTTTCCTTTAAGGATTTTAAGGTAATCTTTTTAGCTTATATTTTGAAGTTTTAAATTTTTTGTGAATTATTTAAATTCAGGGATAAAGTATAATGTAGAATGGCTTTAATCATTCTACTTTTCAATTTGGGATACTTAGGCCTTAAATATTAGACCTATGAGGTTCTTACATTTTAATTTTCCATCTTGGTGTTTTCAAGTTAAGAAATGACCCACATATTTATAAATCTTGAAATAATTATAAACCATTGAACCCAAGAACTGCAAGTATGTCTGATGTGAAATGAAACATAGTTACACATCAAGTGATTATTGGTAGGGAATTCAACTATTGACATAATTTTTATGATATGTGAATTATGTATGTATTTATTTGTGACAACTTTATCAAATATACTTTATACATAAAATTCCCTGAAGTGTACAATTAAAGAATTTTAATAACTTTATATAATGTTGCAGCTATCAGCTATAAATCAGTTTTAGAATATTCTTTCCCAAGGTGGTGTCCATATCTCAGTGAGTAGGGTGCTGGCCACATACATGGAGGCAGGTGGGTTTGAACCCAGCCCAGGCCAGCTAAATAACAATGACAGCTGAAAACAAAAAGTAGCTGGGTGTTGTGGTGGGCACCTATAGTCCCATCTACTTGGGAAGCTGAGGCAAGAAAATTGCTTAAGACCAAGAGTTTGAGGTTGCTGTGCACTGTGACACCATGACACTCTACCGAGGGTGACATAGTGACACTTTGTCTCAAATAAAAAGCATGTTCTTTTCCCACTTGAAACCCTCATGTCTTTTCATACTTAATCTGTATTCCCACCTGTAGCTCTAGGGAATAGTAATTCACCTGATTTTCATTTTCTCAACAATTTATAAAAATAAGATGAAACAGTCTATTCTATATAGACAGCATCTTTGAACATAATATGTTTTTATAACAACTACCCCTTATCTGCTTGTACCTTTGTAGTTGAATAAGGCTGAAGAAAATTATTCCCACTTTACTACACTACTCAGTGTAGGTTACTAACTTCATGTTGGCCTTTCATGCCTCTACCACTCCACAAAAAGTGTTTTTAGATTTTTGCATGCCATGTTTGTTTTTCAGTTTTCATTTTTCTTATCCAATTGGCAGCACTTGGCAGAGCTGATTGGTTTCTCCTTCATAAAATATTTTATTTATTTAGCTTTAATTCAGCTTTTAGAGTACAATAGGCTCTTGGTCCTGGTTTGACTCCTACCATTGTGATTGCTCCATCTCTTGCTCTCCTTATCTCTTTCCTTTTCTCTCTTCTCTCCCCATCCCTCCCTTGTTTGGATTCCTCTTTATTTCTTCAATATTAAGAGTAATCTGTGGTACTGTTTTTTAATCTGTCATTTCACTGAGTCTAGTGGCTTTAAACACCACTGATGCACTGGCTACTACTAAATTGATATCTCTACCGTATTCCTCTCCAAAGGATGATAACCAAGTGGTTACTATTATTCTCATAAGTACCATGTCCAAACTGAGTTTCTGATGATTTTCTTCCCAAATTTATCTTTGTCACGATTATCTCAAAAAGAGCAACTCTAGGGCAGTGACTGTGGCTCAATGGAGTAGGGCACCAGCCCCATATACTGGAGGTGGTGGGTTCAAACCCAGCCCCAGCTAAAAACTGAAAACACAAACAAACAAAAGAGCAATTGCAGTAGATTTCCTGGGGGAGCAGAGCTCTAAAATACCACAGAGTCATACTTGACATCTTTCTTTTGTTTTTTTTCTCATATACAATTAGTTATTAAATCTCATGTTTCTCCCTTCAGAATACAGTAGAACTTCCATAGTTGACCACCCAACTTTGACCAGCACCTTAGTTGACCTAATTTGCATAGACTGGACATGCATTACATGTATATATCATACATTAGACCTAGTTCCTTATGTTTACCACCTCCACGTGTTGACCAGTTTGTTATAGTCCCTTGGGTGGTCAACTTACAGAAGTTCTACTGTATATCTTAACTAGACCACAACCACTGTTTCTATCCTATGTCAAACCACCTTCTTGTCTTGCCAGGAAGACTGTATTAGGTTTCCAACTGGTCTGGCTGTTTGTGCTTATATACCTACTGATTATTCTCAGCACAGCATTCAGTCTGATTGTATTCAAACATTAGTCTGATACTGTTTTTATCTCCCTAAACTTTCCAATAGTTTCACATCTCAGTGGTATCATCTCCTAACCTAATAAGTATCTCTTGGCATCATTCCACACTCCCTTCCAGTCACATATCCCCCAAGTCCATTTCTGCCTCAAACTTCTTACACTTTGTAGTAACTCAGTCTGGAAAAACATTTCTGTGAAAAATTTATGTGACTTTTCTTTCAAATCTCTAATTATCTATTCCATGACATCCAACTATAAACACCTCCCCAACTCACCCCCTAGCCAGCCTTTTTTATTATCATCTAACATGCAAGTAGTATATGTTACTGATGGTCATGAAGACTAAGGATTTTTGTGTTTTGTTTAATGCTGAATTTCAGCACCCAAAAGAGGATCTCTCTGATACTGAACACTCAGTTTTACTATTTACTATTTGTTGAATTACATCATACACGGTCACACACATGTTGTAATGTTACGAAAGCCTTACCTTCCTGATTCACCAATTCTGTGAATTTTGATTGTTATGCCACACTAAAATTATTCTCATTAAATCATATTATTGTATTAATGTTACATGCTTTACAATTACTTCTATATATTATTATACATATTCATATTAAAGTATGGCTCAAACATTTTAATTTTTTTTGGTTTTTTTAGCTCATTTCTATCTCACAACTTTATGATTTATACATATGATGAAACTGGATCTTTGCATTCTGAATCTTCATATTTTACGGTAAAGTCAGATGTCTTAGACATTTATTATCATAATTTCTTTTTGGAACTGGACATACCATTACCATTAGAGTGTGTTTATTTCATGTTAACAGATTAATAAAATATTTTTTATTTTCTATAATTCTGATCTATTATATGATCAACTTACAACATAGAGGTGATAGAGATGAAACTCAGTTATGAGCGAATACTAAGGTGACATAAAGTAATAAGAGGTGCCTAAAAGCTTTTTTCTTATAAATTTGCATTGATTCATGATCTTTATTATTATTATTAAATATTTTAAGGTTTTTAAGTCTTGTGAAATGTTTGACTATACTTTTTTATTCACAAATAATTTTATATTTGCTCCTCTATACTGTTTTTCAGATGCATTGCCATTACCAAGGACATGTTGTAGAATTTCCAAATTCATTTGTGACACTCAGTATATGTTCAGGCCTCAGGTAATTGTTTTCTTACAGGATATTTTTATATGGAAAACTTAGCATATACTTAAAATGAACCTTCATGGCTGGCAGACCCAAATCTGGGAATGTTTAAAGAAAATCCAAATCAGAAAATTTACTTTATAATGGCCTTATTTTATTTATATCAATATTAATACTTATAACAAAGTGACCATTCAAATGAAGTCACCCCTTGGAATCCTGAGTGGAAGTATATCAAGAATACTGTGAAGAAAGGCATAGTTTTATGAAAACAAACATTGGAACATCTAAGTATGATTGTTCCATTCTCTACAGTAATATCAAATAGTTATGGAAAATGATATTAATAAGTTATTTGAGTATAATAGGCACATATTGTATGCTCTCAGTTTAGTGTCAGACATAATGCAGCTAATTAAAAAAGATCTCACAGGAGTAAAGAAGGTGGATAAGTGATTTTTGTTATTGATCCTGAGAAACTTACAATAAGTCTGTAAGAAGAAGAATCTAGAGCAGAAAAAAAACAAAAAACAAAAAACAAAAAAAAGAAAACTTTGTCTAACTTCTTTTGGTTTAGCTGCCTAATTTCCAGAATTTATTCAGGAAGCTAAAACCAAAGGGAATATTTGATAATTATTATTAATAACAAATAGTTAATAAGAATGAGAATTAAGAAAATTGGCATTCTCTGAATGTGTTTTTTATGGATATCAACCTCTTTAGATACTCTACATACCTGTTTTTTCTTATTTTAACCTCTTTAAAAACAGAGACTTTATTATTGGAATTCTCAACAAATATCTTGGTTCTTAGTAAATTTAGCCTTCATTAATATATCTTGAATGACTGTGATTGCCACGTATAAATTATAACATACACTTTTACTGTATTTTGTTCTTTAAAATGTGAACAAAATTGATGCAGTAGCTGTTACTAATGTACTAACGTACATTAAAAATTAAAAATGTGAACAAAATTGATGTACACTAAGGTACACTTTAAAATAGTGAAAAAAAGGTAGAAGTGGGATTAAAGCCTGTCCATTACTCATTTGTCTCATTTTTTCATGCCATTTCGGATTGTAGGATTTTTATTTCTAAATCTTTAGGGGATTTCTTCAGCTTGAAAATATCAGCTATGGAATTGAACCCCTGGAATCATCAGCAAAATTTGAACACATAATTTATCAAGTAAAAAATGACAATCTAAATGTATCTGTGTTAGCAGAAAATTACACCAGTATTTGGCAGAAATACAAACCCTATAAAGTTCATTTAAACTCCCAGGTAACTGTTATTATTCTGATGTTATTGCATACTATAAATTACTTCTTTATATTTTTCTTAATTATTAAAGGAATCTAGTTAGCTGTACAATAGGAATATTAACTACTATATATTCTCCTTTACCTTTAAATAAAACATTCAAATTCCTTCTAAAATATTTGAAAAATTATATTTTTCACATTTATTGTTTTATGACATATTATACAATGTTTGTTTCTTTATTTTCTAAGTTTTTTTCAAATAAAATGCATATCACTTAAAAAGTTTAGAAATACAGAGAGATAACAGAGTGACTGTTAGTTCAACTACCTTGTAAAATTACTTTTAACATTTGGTATCTAGCTTTACAATAAAATCTGTCTAAAATAGGCAATCATGGCATATTACACAACTCTATTAATTTTCTGGTACATTAGATGTAAAAATCTTCTTCATCAGTTTTCTTTGAATATTTCAATCCATCATTGGGCGGCACCTGTGCAAAGGAGTAGGGCATTGGCCCCATGTGCTGGTGGCAGGTTCAAACCCAGCCCCAGCAAACAAACAAACAAAACAAAACAAAACAAAACAAACAAACAAATAAAAACTACAATCCATCACCAGTTGGGCTTTGTAGTTCCTGATTAAAACAAACAAACAAACAAACAAACAAAAAACCTACTATTGCCCTTACTGAGAATTACTCATACATAATGACTCATTTCTTTGTTGTTTTCCTCAAGATTCTTCCTTTGTTTTTGACCATTTGCTTATCATGTATCTGGCAGTAGACCTCTGCATTTACCCTATTGGATTTTACAGCACTTTCAGGGTCTATAGATTTTCTTGAAGTCAAATTTGGAATGATTTGGGTCATTAATTCTCTGAATATTTTTCCTATTCTTTTATTTGCCCCCTCTCCTTCTGGTGCTTCTATTATGTCATGTACTGATATGCTTGATAGTGCCTCTTGGGTTTCTTAAGCTCTGTTCATTTTTCTGTATTCTTTTTTTTTTCCTCTTCCTTAGATGATATAAACTCAATTGATCTATCAAATTCACTGATTCTTTCTTCTGCCCATTCATATCTGCCCCATACCTCTAACAGACACTTAATTTGTCACTGTGCTTCTTAATTCTAGAATTTTTTTGTGTGATTTCTATCCTTCTACTGACATTATCTCCTTAGTGAGACATGATTATATCACTTTACATTAATCATTTTTACATGGCATCCTTTTTTTAATTTTTTTATTAAATGATAGCTGTATACATTAATGCAAACATTTCATGGTGTCCTTTAACTTTTCAAAATTATTTACAATATCTAATGTGAAGTATTTTTATATTAAGTTCAACATCTTTAGAATTCTTTAAAGGTAGGTCTCTTGATCGTTTATTTCCTCTCTGTGTATAGGCCATATTCTTTTGGTTCATTGTATATCTCTTTAAAAAAATGAAAGTGGACATTCCAAATAATGTAATGCTGTAATTCTGGAAATCAAGTTCAACCTCTGCAGATATTTCTCTTATTGCTATTTTTTGTAGTTGTTTGTTGGGTGAATTCTCTGAACTGGTTTTCTAATAAGTCTATTTTCTTGTTTGTGTGTTGCCACTGAAGTCTTCATTCTGTTCTCTTAAAGATTAACCTCTCTGTACATGTTGGAGCACTTCTTCATCACTCAGCCAGGCAGTTAACAAGTCTGCTTTTCATTTCACTTCTTGTTTGCAGAGAGCTTCAAGATCAACTGACAATGGGAGTGTGGGATCTTTTCACACCATTCCTAAACATACCTTGGGCATGTGCTCACCCCTATGCTTGTAGGTGGGTTTCTAGATTCTCAAAAATTTATCTTTGCTTTCCACAGCCTCACACGGACACCCTGTCCTCTGGGCTTTTCCTTTTAAGTTTTTGGTTAGTCTACTGTTTGGCCCACTGTTATCCACTGTTATTTACTACATGTGAAGCTTAAAACTAGTGACTATAATTGTTTTTAACAAATACTTTTTGGAAAAAAGACATCTCACACTAAGCGAGGTCCAAGTTACATCAAATGCAGCTTGGAGTGTGTTTCTGAGGCAGTATCATCCAGGTCAAATCATGACAGTTCTCTGAGATTGAAATTTAATAGATGCTCCATCCATTTCCTGCTTTTTTCAGTTGTTTCCCATCCACTGGTATTCACCACAAATACAGGATGATAGTTTTCAATTAATAAGGAAAGGAACTAAAGAAAATTCCACAAAGACTGCAAAATGTAGCAAAATATGTCATTTTTAAATTTTTTTTAAAAAAATTTAAATTTCAATGTATTATCGGGGTACGAATATTTTTGGTTATATGAATCACTTTCGTTATGCTTGAGTGAAGTTTAAATGTGTGAGCATTAACTAGAAGTGTTCATTGTACCTGTTAGGTAGGTTTTCTCTCATACCTTTCTCCCCTCTTGTCTCTGCTTGGTTTCCTTTGAGATTTACTTCCCTCTGTGCACATGTTATCATCATCAGTTATCATCAGTTAGTTCCAATTTAAAAGTGAGTACATGTGGTGTTTTTTCATTCTTTAGCCACTTCACTTAGGATAATGGTCTCCAGTTCTATCCAAATTGTTACAAAAGGCATTAAGACATCCTTCTTCGTGGATGAGTAATATTCCATGGTATACATATACCTTGTTTTGTTGGTCCACTCAGAAATTTATTGGCATTTCTGTTGAATCCACATCTTTACAATTGTGAGTTGTGTTGCAATAAATATTTGAATACAATTGTCTTTTTGATAAAATGACTTCTCTTCTTTTAGGTAAATACCCAATGGTGGTATTGCTGGATCAAATGAAAGGTCTGTTCTGAGTTCTTAAGGAATCTTCATATGGTTTCCATAGAGGGTATTTTAGTTTGCAGTACTACCAACAGTATATAAATGTTCCTTTCTCTCTGCATCCATTCCAGCATCTGCTGTTTTTGGATTATTTAATAAAGGTTCTTCTGACTGGGTAGAGAGACATCTCACTGTGGACTTTATTTGTATTCTCTGATGAATAATGATGTTTCTGGGCCATTTATCGCTCTTCTTTTGAGAAGTATCTGTTCTGGTCCTTTTAAAATGAGGTTCTTTGACTTTCTTGCTGATTTGCTTGATTTCTTTGTAGGTTCTTGATTAGATGTAGAGATTGTGAGTATTTACCCATTCTGTAGGTTGCCTATTTGCTCTATTATTTCCCTGACTGTACAAAATCTTTTAAAACCTTTAATCAGGTCTCATTTATTTATTCTCTGTTGTTGCTGCTGTGATTGCCATTGAAGACTAAGTAATAAATTCTTTTCATAGGCCAATATCTGGAAGAGTTAAAATTGAGCCTTACATCTAAGTCCCTTATCAATCTTGAGTTAATTTGGGGGTGTGGTGAGAAATATGGATCCTGTTTCATTCTTCTGCATGTACCTATCCAATTTTCCCAGCACCATTTAATGAATAAGATCATTTTACTCAGTGTATATTGTTGTCTTCTTTGTTTAAGGTCAGTTGCCTATACATGGATGGTTTTTATATCTGAGTTTTCTGGGTTTTTTTTTTTTTTACAACCTTGGTCTGTGTCTCTATTTTGTGTCAATATCATGCTGTTTTGGTTTCTATAGACTTATAGTATAGTTTATATCTGGTAATGTGATGCTTCCATATTTTTTTCTTTTGTTCAAGAGTGTTCTAACTATTTGGGATTTTTTCTGGTTCTAAACAAAGTATAGAATTATTTTTCCTAGATCTGTGAAATATGACATTGGTATTTGGATGGGGATTGCATTGAATCTGTAACCCACTTTGGGTAATATGGACATTTTAACAATGTTGATGCTATTTATACATGAGCATGATGTGTTTTCCCACTTGCTTGTGTTATCTGTGATTCCTTTCCTCGTTGTTTTATGATCTTTATAAAAATATTTCACTCCCTTGCTTAAGTAGCCTAGGTATTTCTCTCTTGCATCAATTGTGTAGTATTCTATCTTTTTCTATATTTTGGAATATTTTAAGTAATATAAGTACTAGCTCCTTTTTAAAGGTTTGGAAGAATTCTGACGTGAAGCCATCTGGAACCCAGGCTTTTCTTTTTAGGGAGATTTTGCATAGTTGATGCTATTTCAGAACTTGATATAGGCCTGTTCAACATTTCCACTTCATTCTGGCTAAGTCTTTGAAGGTGGTGTGCTTCCAAGTATTGGTCAATTTCCTTCAGATTTTCATATTTTTGAGAATAAAGTTTCTTGTAATATTCATTAAGGATTTTTTGAATTTCTGAGGGGTCTGTTGTTATTTCACCCTTATCATTTATGATTGATAAAAGTATAGATTTTACTCTTTTTTTCTTGGTTAGGTTGGCCAAGGTTTGTCTATTTTATTGAACTTTTCAAAAAAACAACTATCAATTGTGAATGTTACTAACTCTTTCATTTAACTCTCAGCTTGAGTTTTATTGGTGCATAGGAGTACTACTGAATTATGCAGAATAATTACCACAGTGTAGATATATTGAATTTGTCACCTGAGGCTCTGCTGAATGTATTGATTCCAGGAGATTCTTTGTGGAGTCTTTGGGGTTTTCTAGATATAAAATCATATTGCCTGCAAATGTGATAGTTTGACCGCATGTTCCCCAATCAGATACCCTTAATTTCTATCTCTTGCCTGATTACTCTGACTGGGACTTCTAGCACTGTGTTGAATAGAAGTGGTGATAGTGGCCATCTCTATCTTGTTCCAGTTCTTTGGGGGTATACTTTCAACCACAATGAGATAGCACCTTATCCCAGGAAGAATGGCTTTTCTTAAAAAGTCCAATGTTCTAGGTGAAGTATCACAAGAATGGAAAGAAAAAAACCATAGCCTATCCACATTTGATTATATTTTAATATAGGCACAGCAAGACAAACCAATGTAGAAATTAATTTTGAAAACAATGCTGAATACAAGGAAAAAATCAATATCCATAGTATATAGTTTTTAACTTAGTTGCTTAACATTAGAGAGGCAGAGCACGCTGACTCACACTTGTAATCTCAGCACTGTGGGAGGCTGAAGCAGGAGGACTACTTGAGATGAGGAGTCTGAGCAAGAGCAAGATCTCATCTCTACACACACATACACACAACATTCCCCAGACATTTTGGTTCACCCTAGGAATATCAAATACTCAGGAGGCTGAGGCAGGAGGATCCCACGAGCCCACGAATTTGAGGTTACTATGAGATATAATGATGTTACTGCACTCTAGCCCAGTGGAAGAGGTGAGAAACTGTCTCAAGAATTAAAAAATTGCAAAAGGATCACATGTAGAAGAAAAGCATTTAACAAATGGATCTAGAAATTAATGTATACAATTATGATTTAATACAAAAATTGTTAAGAGAAAAAGTAAAAATAAATAAAGGAAAAAAGTGTTAAATAAGTTATTCTGAATGAAGTTTCACTGTATTAATAAAACTATTTTGCCTAAAATACTTCACCTATATGGTCTGTCTAATAAGGGTACAAGTGAACTTTTCTAGAACTAGAATATAAATGTTTTGACACAATGACTAAGCAAATGACATGGCCTATGTTAACCAGCATGATGAAAGTATTTTAAATTGTATATGAAAACACTACATTGTACCCCGTGTTTGCATTAATGTATACAGCTATCATTTAATAAAAAAATAGTTTTAGTTTTTATCAAATGTAGCTAGAATTATGATTTATCCTCCATCTAGAATTATGAATATTCTTCTTCAGACAGCACTTGCTCTGAATTTAGCAATCGTGTCATCATCTAATTAAAATCTATGGTTTTCAGGAAATAATCAATTCAGGATGTTCAACAATTTCAAATTTATTAACCAAAAATGCGATATTGTACAAAAATTATAGGCAATGTAATAAAAACATTAAGATTCTATTATAAATATATAATAGCAGAAATACAGCATTGGAGGGAGATACAGTTAAGAAAATGAAGTACATAAGAATCTACCAAGAACACCATTTTTTATGGTCTTTTTCTTAAGTAGTTATAGTTTTGGCTTTGTGTACTTCTACATTGGTTTTAGAAAAAAATTTCTAGTTTTGGCAATAATTTTTGAGAAGTATATTAGATATACCAAAGTAATAAAGCATTTTAGTCATTAAATATAAAATTTCAATATTTATATAAGTTTAATTATTTTAGTCTCCTCTTTTCTCACTCCACATTATTACCAGTTGAACAATAAATTTGTATGATCACTGTTATAAGACTCTAGCAATTGTTACAAAGTTGCTGAAAATCAATAAAAGAGAGCATAAAAAGCCAAACTCACTTATTTTAGAATTTTAAGAGTTATGAAAGTTTCCTTTCCTACACAACTACATATATAAGTGTGTACATAGAGATAGGTAGATTATAGTCAGATATATGGATATTACAGCAATTAATGAGGGGAGATAGGCATTTTTTACTTCCCAGTGGAAATAGAAACAAACTGATTTACACAAAGGCTCTATTCATTAAGTTCATTTTTATTTCTTTGCTTCTTTAAGCATGATTAGTCTAAGACAAAGTCAGTCATTGCACTTGCCTTACTGTTGTATTTATTAGCCAATATTGCTTGGACCAAACATGAGGACATTTTAGTTTCTCTTGAATTTCCATATGTGAAAAAGTCCTTCAGTGTGACAATCATAGCTCATGTAAAAATACCCAATAAAGTGCTAAGTGATGATATAATGATTTGATGATTTATGAGTACCTGTCTTGGCACAATCAAGAATTTTTATACCAATATTTTTTGTGCTCCAGATCTATTGAATTATTTCTTTTCTATTACATTCTATTTTCTTCTGTCTACCTAATATGGTTAGTAGGAAAATCACACTATTTACCTGAATTTCTGTGTAGACTATGAGTTCTAAAACATTTCCTGTATTTTCCTCCTGAATAAAGAGATGATTTCCTGTGAGCCACAATTGGTATTATGTACCACAGTCTTTTGGAAGACAGTGAAGTATTCTCAAGTGTGAATGGGTAAAATAGATTTGTCATCAGCTGAAGACAACAGAATGTACATATTTATATTCACTTTCTTTTTCGTCAATATTAACAGAGATTACTTAGACTCCTACGTTACTTTGCCAGACTTGTTAGTAAAATTTTAAGCTTGGAATATGTTTTGAAGTGAAATTTTCTGCTTTGAAATTAATTTTTATACTTAAGTCTTCATGAGTATTTTATTTTGTCTTCTTTACATGTCATCTTTTTCTCTTAACAAATTCAGCACATTTGATAAGTCTCTTGTTGTTTTTGTTCTGTTATTCCAGAAAGAAATGTTTTCAAAACTATTAACCCAATATCTAGAAGTGCATATTATAGTGGAAAAGGCTTTGGTAAGTAAAGCTTTCCTTCCTGCCTTCCTGTTTCTGCCCGACTCTCTCTTCCTCCATACTCCCCATCCTCCTTCTCCCCCTCTTTCCTTCTTCCCTTACTTCCCTTTCCTTCTTCCTGAAAACCTTCTGCTCCTCCCTCCTTTCCTTCCTTATCCCCTTCTTTTCCTTCCTATTTTTCTTCCCCTCTTGACTCTATCTTTTTATAAGTTAATGAAAGTTTTGTCTTAATTTGAAAGATGTAAATTTTTGATACTTGTAAATAAAAAATGTGTTACATAGATCTGTAATTTCAACATTTTGCAACCTATTAATGAGTAAAAGCCCAAACAAGCCTAAAATAATGTATCAGTTTGCCCTGCCCCAGCTTAGCCCAGTGTATTTCTTTTTTTTTTTTTTTTTTTTGAGACAGAGCCTCAAGCTATCCCCCTGGGTAGAGTGCCATGGCATCACGCTCACAGCAACCTCCAACTCCTGGGCTCAAGAGAGTCTCCTGCCTCTGCCTCCCAAGTAGCTGGGACTACAGGTGCCCGCCACAACGCCTGGCCATTTTTTTTTTTTGGTTGCAGCCATCATTTGTTGTTTGGCGGGCCAGGCTGGGGATTCGAACCTGCCACCTTAGGTGTATGTGGCTGGCGCCTGAGCCACTTAAGCCACAGGCGCTGAGCCAGCCCAGTGTATTTCTATGCCTTCATTGCACTAACAGCATTTTCCTTTCCTTAATGTGCACCAGTTTTTATGGTCACATTATTTTTCTTGTACATACAAGAACTTTTTTATCATATTATAAAGCATAGGTGTTTGTCATTTTCTGTTTTCTACAGAGTTTTCAACTGATTCAGTGCTTTAAGTTTTGTTCAAGTACCATTTTTTAAACCTTTATCCCTAAGTAAAATTTCACTTCTGTGGTAGCAATATTTTTATTGGTTTTGTTTATGGATCCTAAACTGTTTCTTCCTTTTTGAAATATGTTAATTTATACCTAAGTATTTTATACTTTTTATGCTATTGTATATATGCTATTTTAGGGAGATCATTATTGATGTAAAGAAATACAACTAATTTTTGTATGTTGCTTTTGCATCTTGCAAATTTACTGAATTCAATTATAAGCTCTAATAGTAGTTTTTTGTTTTAATGATATCTTTAAGGTTTTCTACTGCAAACAAGGATAATTCTATTCTTTTAAATTTGGATGACATTTATTTTTGTGTCTAATTGCTCTGGTTAGGACTTCCAATATTGTATTAAATAGAATTGATGAGAGTGGAAATCCTACCCTTTTGATACTGGGAGCCACTTAAAGTCCTCCTTGGCTTCATGCAAGAAAGAATTCAGGAGCAAGCTAGCAGTGTAAAGTGAAAGAGAGAGTTATTCAGAAACTGTAGAAAATTAGAAAATCTGCTCCATAGGCATAGCAGAGGCAATTTCTCCTTGCATGAGAGAACTGCCCCCTGGTTTCTGTTGCTCTTCTATTTAAGTAATGGCATAATTATAGGCTAAGCAAGGGAGAAATATTCACGGAAGGGGTGGTGTTCCACAACAGTCTTGGGTTAACCAATGGACAGTTGCCCTGCCTTCATCCTGTTTTGATCAAGACAATTAGAAACTCTGTTTTGAGACTTCCTGACTCAGTTAGGCAATGCTGCTGTAATGCCCACAGTACTCTAAAGCAGTACCTGCCAGGTTCCTCTCTCACTTTTATAAATAAATCTTAGAAGAATAACTGTGCTGTTAGTTTGCTAGCTTGCTTGCTTGCTTGCTTTGTGGTTTTATGCTGGCTGAGTCAAAGCACTTTCAGTTTCTAGGAACCACTTACTAATGATTCCCAGGGAAAGCCGATCCAGAGCAGGGGCATTCATAGCCCCCTGACAGCTTATAGGTCCCTTTTCTGTGGTGTATTTGTCTGACTTTGGTATCAGGATGATATTGGTCTCATAATACTAGGAGACCCTGGAAGTGTTCCCTCTGCGTTAGTTTTGGGGAAAGTTTAAAAAGATTTGTTATTAGTTCTTGTCTAAATTTTTGGCAAAATTTATCCATGAAATCGTCTGTTCCTAAGCTTAGTTTGTTGCAAGGCTTTTTTCTTGGGGTGAGTGGTGGTCTTTAGTTCTACTGCTGTTTCAGTCTCTTTAATTGTAATTAGTATGTTCAGGCTTTCTATTTGTATTTGCTTCTTGACTCAGTTTTGGTAGGTTGTATGTTTCCTGGAACTTAACTTTTTTCAAGATTATTAAAGATGTTGCCATATAATTGTTGATAATAAATATTTCCCAAGGATTATTTTTATTTCTATGGTATCCATTTTGATGTCTTCTCTTTTATTTCTGATTTTTACTTATTTGTCTCTTTAGCCTCTTCCATTTCTTTTCGAGCTAAGTTTTGTCAACATTGTGTGGCTTTAAAATCTCTCTTAGTATTGTTTTCTTTTTTTTATAGATTTTTCAATTTCTATGTGATTTGTTTCTCTTCTGATATTTTCATTTTAATCCTTCTGTTAGCTTTGGCTTTCTTGATGTATAAAGTTAAAAAGGTATAGATCAGGTTGTTCATTTGAGATCTGTCTTCCATTGTAATGTGTGGGAGTCCCACTCCAGGGGTAGGGTTCAGGAAGACCTGTGGATCTGGTGGCAACCAACTGAAGAAATATAAAGTTATAAACAATGAGAAAGAAAGAAACGAGACAGACAGAATAGAATTTTCAAAGGTGGGAACCCAAGGGGCCACCACCCATTTGTGGGGCTCTGACAGTGGCCCTGAGTGTAATTTCCACTCAGCTTTCACTGAAGCCTATTTATTCATTAGTCCAAAGGGTAAGCTGAGGAAGGGAACAAAGACACCAGCAGTTTCTCTGAGCAAGCATATCAGCTCCTGTTGTTTCTGTAATGATTAACCTTAAGGATCAGAGCAGTCCTGAGAAATCTGGAACCTGAGCAGTGCATGGGGGCAGCCTCCTGTCTGAGGTCACACACACACACACACACACACACAGATTCTTAGGGGATGTTAATCCTATTGTAGGATAAAATGCCACTGGTATCAATCTCCTCTGAAGAATAGGTGGGAGAGGGGAATATTCCTCTCATCAGTACCATATAGGGTCTTCCTCTGCAATAAGGGATATAAAGCTCTCCAACTCATATTTCAGGGCTAGAGCTGTTCCCTTGATCTATGCCCCACACAAATATAAATCTCCACAATGGGTATTTGCTGTGACTATTAACTGGGCCCGAAATGGCCTAGTTAATGCATCTTGCTAGGTCTTGCCACAGCATCTTCTGTGGCCATTATTTTCTTAAGAGTGCTTACAGACCCAGCAGAGATATTTGTAAGCTGTATCCCCAATAGGAAACTTGCTCACATAAGAAATTTAGTGGTGGCTGGGGTTTAAAGGTAAACAAGCTGACTTTTCTTTATTCTGCCTCAATCAGCTTACTTTATTATTTTCCCCTTTTTTCTAGGGGTGTTTTCCCTTGGCAAGAATCGGGGTCTTTGATCCCCATTTTATCTCTGCAAAATTCCTTCTTAGACTATCCCATAAATGTTTTAGTATTGTGTTTTTATTTTAGTTTACCTAAAAATACTTTCTAAGTTCATTTTAGATGCTTTCTGATAGAATGGACATTCAGGGTATGTCCTTTGTTTTTCACATATTTGTATGTTTTCCCATTTTCTTTGTGCCACTGATTTCTACTTTTATCTCATTGTGAATGGAGGAAATATTTGGTATGATTTTGATCTTCTTAAATTTGTTAAAACTTTATGATCTAATATGCTATTTATGTTTTTATTAAGTTATAACTGTGTATGTTGATGCATTTATGGGGTTCAGTGTACTGATTTAATATATAATGTGAAATGCTTACATTGAACTGATTAACACATCCATCACAATTACATTCTTTTCTTAAAAGTTGTGAAATGTACCATTGCATCATGCACATTAGGTGAGGTCCCCCCAAATACCCTCCCTCCTCCCACCTCCCCCACCCTTCCCCTCTCTTCTTTATTTTCTACTCTCTAGATGGACCACAGTTATGTTTTACCATTCGTACAAATGTGTAAATACTTATATGTTGATTTCATAGTAGTATTGAGGACATTGGATATATATTTTTTTTTCCATTCTTGAGATACTTTGCTAAAAATAATATGTTCCAGCTCCATCCAGGTAAATATAAAGGATGTGAAGCCTCCATTTTTATGGCAGCATAGTATTCCATGGTGTAAATATACCACAATTTGTTGACCCATTCATGGGTCCATGTCTTGGAAATTATGAATTGGGCTACAATGAACATTCTGGTGCACATGTCTTTGTTGTAAAATGACTTTTGATCATCTGAGTATATACCTAGTAGAAGAATTGCTGGATCGAACATCAGGTCTACTTTTAGTTCCCTACGTGTTCTCCAAACTTCTTTCTAGAAGGAACATATTAGCTGGCATTCCTACAAGTAGTGTTCCACATCCACACCAACATCTGTAGTTTGGGGATTTATGATGTGGGATGATATTACTGGAGTTAGATGATATCTCAAAGTGGTTTTATTTGCATTTCTCTGATGATTAATGATGATGAGCATTTTTTCAGGTTTGTAGTTCATACACCTTCATATTCAGAGAAGCTTCTGTTCAAGTCTCTTGCCCACATAGAAATGTGATTATTTGTTCTTTTCTTATTGATTAGTTTGAGTTCTCTGTGAATTCTAGTTAACAGACCTTTGTCAGAAACATAACCTGCAAAAATTTTCTCCCAATCTGAAGGCTATTTGCTTTACTTACTGTGTTTTTGGCTGTGCAAAAGCTTTTTGGTTTGATCAGATCCCAGTAATGTATTTTTGGTGTTGCTTCAATTGCCCAGGGGTCCTTGTCATAAAGTATTCTCCCAGGCTGATTTCTTCAAGTGTTTTCCCTACACTCTCTTCTAATATTTTTAGTTTCATGTCTTAAGTTTAAATCTTTTATCCAGTGAGAATAATTTTTTGTTGATAGTGAAAGGTAGGGGGTCCAGTTTCCATCTTCTACAGGTCATCAGCTATTTTACCCAACATAGAAGTATTATTTTGCTGTATGGTGTTATTCCAGTTCAATGCTTCTATATTAACTTTCTGTCTACATGTTCTATCTAATATTGAAAAGTGAGTACTGAAGTCTCCAACTATTATTGTATGTGTCATTTTTCTCCTTTTATATCTATCAATATTTGTCTTATATACTCATTGGCTCTCTTACTGAGTGCATAAATATGTATGTTTGTTATGTATGTGTGTATGTATGAGTATAATTAAAAATAATTCTGTTGATTTTACCACTTTATCATAATGTATTATAGCTGTCCCAAGAGACAGTTTTTGAGCTTAATTCTATCTTATGTGGTATATAGCTCAAGAAACCCCTTTATAATAGAGAGAAATATGTGTATGGTTATTTCAGTACTTCTTAATGATTTTGATTTTTATGATTGAGAGTTTCATTAAAATAAATGTGAGGATATATATAATATTTTTTTTTTTTTTGAGAAAGAGTCTCACTTTATTGCCCTCAGTAGAATGCTGTGGCATCACAGCTCACAGCAACCTTCGATTCCCAGGCTTAGACGATTCTCTTGCCTCAGCCTCCTGAGTAGCTGGGACTACAGGTGCCCACCACAATGCCTGGCTATTTTTTTGTTGCTGTTCGCCTGGGGCCAGGTTTGAACCTACCCACCTTGGTATAAGGGGCTGGCACCCTACCCACTGAGACACAGGTACTCTACCCTAATGTGAGAATTTTTGTGAGTGTCCTTGTGTGTTTTTTTTCTTTTTGTTGTTTATTTTATTATAAAAAATTGTCATCTTATACACATACAAGTATGCTTTAAATTGTTTGAGAAACCATATGCTTTCTGCCTAGTACCACAAAGATATATCCACAAAGATATATATCTAAAAATTCCTTTATTTGCATCTTTTAAAAAACATAAAATTATTTATTTCAGTATGACTATATGGGATCTGAAATGATGGCTGTTACCCAGAAAATTGTCCAGGTTATTGGGCTTGTCAACACTGTAAGTTTTTACTTTTTCCTATTTCTGATTAAATGAAAAGTAGATTAAAGCTGGGCATAGAGGCACATACCTATAATCTTAGCATTCTGGCAAGCCAAGATGGGTGGATTTCTTCAACTCAGGAGCTCAAGACCAGCCTGAGCAAGAGCAAGACCCTGTCTCTAAAAATAGCCAGGCATTGTGAACTGCACCTTGTATTACCCAGCTTCTCAGGAGGATAAGGCAAGAGGACTGCTTGATCTCAAGAGTTTAATGTTGCTCTGAATTATGATGCCATGGCACTCTACTGAGGATGACAAAGGAAGACTCTGTCTAAGAAAAAAAAAAACTTTAATCTAACTTTCATTCTATCATGGCAATTTAATCACTTAAATATTGTTTATTAATTTAATGTTCAAAATACTCATATGATTATTTTATTTATTTTATCTTTTATTTATTTTATCTACTATTTTAATTATTTAGCAATTAAAACATTATATTACCTGAAAAATGTGACCTAAATATTACCTTTAGATGTTTACCCAGTTCAAATTGACTGTTATACTATCCTCCTTGGAATTGTGGTCAGATAAAAACCAAATTTCCACCATGGGAGAAGCTGAAGATATATTACAAAGATTTCTGGCATGGAAACGGAACTACCTCATCCTACAGCCCCATGACATAGCATACTTACTAATGTAAGCACAACATTATACATTACTAAAGATATTTGGTATGCACAATTAGTGCTATTAAATTGGTAATTTAATGCATTTATTATGTTCTTCCAACTTTTTTTAGACCTCCTTGAAAATGTTTTTAAAATACAGATTTTGACTTGGAGAAGATAATGTAGTTGGGAATAGAATAACAATGGCAATAGTTTTATATCAATATCAGTATATTTTGGAGTACAATTATTGTGGGAAAATCTGCATTTAATGATCTTTTATGCTATTAACTTTACTACAGAATACATATAACCATAAGCTTTTTAATGATGTAAAAAATCAGTACTATTCAGTTACAATTATCCATTATATGATATTACATTTCATGTTTATTTTTTGACTAAGATGATTTGGTAATATTTTGATAATACTATACTTAATTTAAATATTAGCTTTGAGACAAGTAAGGTTGCTTTTCTTATAACTTAAAAATTATTTTCCTTTATTTTTTAATGACCAAAATAATTGATTGTAACTTAATAGAATCACATCAAATCTACAAGTTAGGCAAGGAAAAAATATTGGTGTTAAAATAAATTACAACTTTAAGACTTGAGCATTTGTGTAACTTATTAGGTATTATCTATTTTGGAATTTTGTATGTTTAAAAAGTTCTTTTTTAATTTTGTGAGATTTAATTTCATAAACTTTTAAATTGTTCTGCATGACTATTTTATATTAAAAGACAATACTATAATGATGTAGTTACAGGAACCATCCTAAATATGTGGGAGCAACATTTCCTGGCATGATATGCAATAATAACTATGATGCTGGTATTGCTATGGTATGTAATTTTTATCCTTCTTTGCATTATTACTTTTTAAATATTATATTTCATAAAATTTAAAGAGGTAGTGTATTAAAGCTTGACATATAAATATATATATATACATATTATATTTGTCTAACATATATATATTCCTTATTATTTTGTTTGGACACAATTACTAGAATCTTAGAAAAATTCTATCCAATTATAAATTTTAAGCAGAATGGACATAATATGAACTAGTATGATTAGTATACTTACTCACCAACTACCCCCAATGGACACTAACATTTCCTTCAGCTTTTTAAAGAAATAAGACATTAGAGAAAAGTTAAAGCCTCCTGAGTGTTGCCTTCAGGTCAAGAAATAGGATAAGTCATGAATTGGTGCTTGCCACTTTATGCTACTTTTTATAAATATATGTATCCATTATAAACTTATATTATTTTGTGCATTGTTCTTATTCATAGTTCATTTTAGAACTATTTTGAATAGTCTTTTAAACAATATATTCATGTTGAAACATTAATTCTAGTTTGTTTTGTCTCCTGAATTTTTAAATTTTCATCACGTAATACATTATCTATTATAAATATGTATACAAATTGTATTACAAGACTGATACTAGGGGAAAAAAATACATCAGTTGCCTGCATAATGCACATCCCCTGAATCTTCTTTCTTGATATTTAAAAAATATCTCCTACCATATAATTTCCTATTCATTTCATCTCAAATAGAAATTTTCTCAAAGTACAGTATACAGAGAATACTGCACAATTCGTAAGTGTATAGAACAGTTAATTTTTACCAAGATAATACATAGGTATAAACATCACAAAAATTAAGAAATAGAACGTTGTCAACACCTATGAATCTTTCCTCCTCCCTGTTACTACCCATGACAAAGAAAATCATGACCTTAAAGATGGAATGACCTGGGTTGATTTTACCTCTTTTTGAAGTTCATGTAGATAGTACACAGTGCATATTCTTGCATCTGCTCCATTTTCTCAGGATTATATCTGTAAAAATCATCCTCGTTTACTTGTATAGAAATAGTTTGTATATTCTTTTACTCTATATTGCTAAAAACTATGTCCATGAAGTTTCTTGACTAATTAAATGTAAACGTAATCTGTTGATTTGAGCAATAGGAAGTCCTATTCAAGTACAAATTATTATTTAAGTTCTTCTTATCATAAAATTTCAAATTTAACATCATAAGAGCTCATTAGAGCTACATTCCACCTCTTCTATTTTTCCTTTATAATCATATAAATTACTTGAATTGTGTTCTATTTCTTAGTCAACCAAATAATAAACTAAGATAAGTTGCCTTGGTTTTGTACTTTTATTATTTTTTCCTAAATGTGACAATTATATAGATTTTCCAAAATTCTCAATAAAATTATAAATGTCTCTCTTTTTTGTACCTATTGCAGAAATTATATTTTGCTACCTTGGAGACATTCTGGAGAACTTTTCTTTTTAACCAACCTATATTGGACTTGTTACATAGGTGTTTGAGAATAATCAATCTTGTTTCCATTGGGATATGTGAATTTCTCTTTTATTATTTTTTCACTCATTTTGGTAAATTACATACTTCTATAAATTACTGAGAAAAAGTGAGGAAAAGTAATTCATGTAGGGCTTGTATGATCAAAAATATATTTGAAGAGATTTAAAGAGATGGTTTGATTAATTTTAATCTAAAAAAATATACCTGGGAATTTTAAGTGTGCTTAAAGAGATTGATTAATTTTAGTCTAAAAAAATATACCTGGGAATTTTAAGTGTGCTTCATTTTCTTTAGCCTCTCTTTAGACATTTAAGGCCATTCTTATTCTCATTCATTTATACATGGCTTGGTTCTTTTCTCTGTAAAAACACTTAGGATCTTTTATCCTTGCACAGTGCCTTTTGTCATCCAATGCAATAGTTATATTGAAGTACTTTGTATGTGGATACTCATTTTTTTCTTTTTTTTAAATTTATTTTTCTCACATATACATGTGTATATTAGGTTTCCACTTTTGCCTTCACAGAATTAAAAGGCTAAATTTAATGACAATAATAATATTTAACATAAGGACTGAGAACAAAAACCTCATAAAGAATGAAAGAAGATAAATACATTCAGAAAAGAAATCAGACGATTGCTGCAA